ATATGCTGATACACACTTATGAGAGCTATCCAAACCTTAGTGTAGATTGTAATGATTGATTGATTGTATATTGTTTAACGTCCCACTTGAGAATTTTTCACTCATATGGAGACGTCACCGTATGCCGGTGAAGGGCTTCAAATTTAGACCTATACTCGGCACTCAGGGCCCTTGAACAGTGAGGGTTCTTTATCGTGCCAGCGCCTACCGTGACACGGGACCTACGTTTTTAAGGTCATATCCGAAAGACCCGTGACTTTCACTTCTAGTGCCGAGCGCTTGGCGAAGGAACAGTCACTACCTTTGTTTACGTCTTAGGTATGACGCGGCGCCGGGAACGAGAATCGAACCCGGGCCTCCCGATCACGAAGCGAACGCTCTACCACTAGGCTACCGTGACCGGTACCTTAGTGTAGAACAGATGCTCTAACCATTGTGTCACACGGGCGGCCTTCAGTTTTGAAGAATCCATTCAAGACATTTTTATCAAACTTTTATTAGTATCCTGATACATTTTGATCTTGCACTTTTATGTGACCTTGACCTTACTTGTCTTTAATTTGCAATTCGCTTAGTATTAAAGAAACCATTTGAGATATTTTTATGTAAGCTAATGCCTATATGCATTATCTGTATGGAGTTTCCATTTTTAAGATTTCAATTTTTAAGAAACTATTCAAGATATTCTCAACAAACGTCATACACTTATACAGATTTAATGTTGCATTATTTACTAATATACACTCGGCGAGGCATTCATGTCCTATAGATATATATTTCAAGTTAAATGATCATGTAAATCATAATTTTGAACCTAATAAATTCTTACGATTCGGTATATGTTAAAAAAAAAAATTAACTGAACATATCCAGTCTTTTGGACGAGTCACTGTTACTGACAGAGAAACTTTAAATTCTCAACCGTATTTGTACCAGTGAAACATTGCTCATATAATGCAGGGTGGGGCATGACCTTGACTCAAGTTCAAGGTCACTTAAGATAAGATGTTTTGGTTGGATAAGGACTAAAAGAATATCTAAAAAAACATACGTGAACTTTTCCAGTCGGTAACACGCAGATTATGTATTTTTATAACAGAGTTTGTCATTGCTTGTCGCAAGGTCATTTAGAAAGTTCAAGGTCATGCTCATAACATTCCTTTACAGTCTTTTTCCTGGCGAAACATTGTAAGTTGCTTCCTCAACAAGCCTTTAGGTTGCTTACTTATATACCTTTGGAATGGTTTGACCTAGACTCAAGGTTACGTCTTCCTTTCCGTAGCTCCAACGGAAGACCTATTTGTTACTTTGCAACGAGCTCGACTCTAGTTTTTTTTTACTTTTAAAGTAGACAGTGGCGCAAAAAAGTTTGCATTCTGGTTTTCAGCCCTTCCAAACATTGATTGCATATCAAGTATGCATTGTGTATCAGTTGAGTATTTTCAAAGGAACGTAAACTAACAGAAAAAAAAAATCTTGTAAAATTGAAAATAAGAAATGAAGAGTATATTTTGAGTGTTTTCGTTCGTCTTGAGCTTTTCTAAAACTTAGGAAAAGTTTCACTGTAAATATTTCCAATTATCTGGAAGCAGATTAGTAGAAATGGATCATTCGATAAATATCATATGCAGTCCGAATGTTTCGAAAGTGAATGGGGTATCTCAAAAAGAAATTTAACAATGAAAGACAAAAAAATAACCAAGAAAAGACAGATGAAATAAAAAACCTCTTTAATCACACTTGATACGTAACTTGACGTCCTCCCCCCTCTCTCTCGCTCTCTCTCTCTCTCTGCATTCAACTGGTCTCTCAGTCTTCACAATAAAGCCTTGCTTTCATACGGACAATTAGAGACTCAATGTTTGACAAAAATGATCGTTTAAAGATTATTATAATTTTTCTCCCATTTTATTGATTGTATATTGTTTAACCTCCCCATCGAGAATTGTTCACTGATATGGAGACGCCACCACTTACCTGAGAGCTGCAAATGTTGTCCTTTGCTCAGCACGCAGGCCTACTGAGCATGAGGGATCTTTTTCATGCCAGCATCCACTGCGACATGAGACGTCGGTTTATATAGCCTTATACAAAGGACCGCTCTCCACAATCCACAGTGGGATTCGAACCCAGCGACATATGGATCAACTCCTAATTTCACGATTCCAAACAAACGCTAGAACGACTTCACCATGCGGGCAACTTCTTTTATCAGATATTTAAATCTTATTTTCAGATAAATATAGATGCCTTAAGATTTAAGATTTTTGTTATGGGTTCTAGTAAAAAACTCTTAAATAACAATATTTGATTAGCATCATTCTTGGATTGAAAATACTGTAATTTATTGAAGGAATATTAAATTAAAGCTTACTTTTCAAAACAAAAAAAACCCACAATCTTTCAAATATATCTTCTAAAACTATACACAACCTATATGCATTATCTTTTTCAACAAACATTTTAAAAAATCTATTACATATAAAAAGCAGATTAGTAAAAAATAGGAAAAAAAGTCCCCATCACATATGATTTGCCCAATTTTCTTCTCATATAAAGTTGTCGCCCTGTTCACAAACCCTGAAACTAAATCATGTTTTTTTCAGATTCTTCAAATGGCTACACATCTAGATTTTTAGGATTCTATGTTTATATATCGAACACAACAGACAGATTTGATGGTCATCTCTGTTTCCACGACACAATCTACAACAGATCCACAATACCAGCCGTGGTCAACATAAGCTGTCCTGTACACGGGCAATACGTCATATACTACAATGAAAGACTTCTAAATGTTACTTATCCAACTGGATATTCTCAGTATGCATTTACTGATTTCTGTGAAGTTGAGGTGTATGGTAAGAACATATACGAGGGGTGATCAAAAAGTTTGCAAATAAGTTGAGTTACTTTCATAAAAAATAAAATAAGCCTTCCATTTTTATTATTGTTTCAATTACAGTACCGACCAGACCCAACCTGACACAAAGCAGTCCCAGAGCAGACCCGGGGACTGCTTTCTGGGTCTGCTAAAGCAGTCCCACAGCATGCAGTCCCAGAGTAGTCCCACAGCGGTCCCAGAGCAGTCCCACAGCAGTCCCAAAGCGGTCCCAGCAGTCCCAGAAGTCCCAGCGGTCCCAGAGAGCAGTCTCAGCAGTCCCAGAAAGCAGTCCCAGCAGTCCCAGTGGGCGAGGTTTATTAATTTAATGGGCGGAGCTAACTCAGAAATGAGATTTGCAATAAACAATGGAACTATAAAAGGCAGTAGAAATTGTTTCTGGGTAGTATGCCGAGACTTCTTACATGTATGCGAAGGTCATTTATGAACATTATGCCCATAGAAACAAATTGAATGATTATTTATTGAAGAAAGAAGGGTTTCACACGTACATGTATGAATTAAACTGAACATGAACATTTAATCCAATTATCGGATGTATTAAATTAATAATTCAATTTCTTTATTTTTCTGTGATTTATACTGTTTCCCATTTATTTTTTATACAGAAAATTAAACACGAATTAATTATTTTCCACCAGTAAGAATTAGCTTTAAATAGATCTCATCATTATATCGCCAATTTCCATACTATCGGGATTGTAGAAAATTCTTTGTTAATTTTGCCAAGTATTATTTTTCATTCATGGTTATTTTTACTGACATGTCAATTTAATTATTGTTATTTTCTATATCTCTATAATACTCAGTTTTAAGAGTTTTATTTGTGAATGTTAGAATGTACATCTCTAAATCACCAGAATGGAACCATCAGATTATGTTCAACATTAATTAATCCTGAAAGAAATTCATAGACATTTTATAAATCAATTTTATTTTTTGCATTATATAAGGTAGATGGAAATTAGGGTCATTGTTGACCAGCATGTTCAATGATGTGAAACGCTGATACGTATACTAAATTAGCATGCACTGATTTTCTGCCCTAAGGCGATTGAAACCGCTAGAGTTGATACCATGTAATAAACATTAATTGGCCAGGTACATGTGAACATAAGCAAATGAAAAAAAGAAATAAATCACAATTCCCGGTATTTTGAACTCTTTATTTATAAAATAAATGTTCTCTTTTGATAACTTAGTTGTAAATTAAAAACTACCGGTAATTCAATAATAAACTCCCCGATGATTATTCAAATTGTTTGAGTTATGGAAGAATGGTAGCATAATTTTATTTCATCGTCATTCAATAAATTGTTAGGCTTTATTTTAGGGTTGCATGGGATACTTTTCTAGAGTGGTGCTCGTAAAACATGAAGCTTTTCTATTAAAAATCTTACATTTAACTGTATAATTAATATTTTTAAATAGTGTCAATGCAAATTTTGAGTGCACATAATTGTACATGAAATAATAAAATAGACCTACATGTAGATATTTTTTGCTCATAAACCTGTAGTTTATTTTTAGGGATAAAAATCTACTCCTGACTTCCTTACTTGATAACTTTATTCAAAAAAATATTCTTACTACATTTGTGTAAATATACAGTCTCTGAAAATATTAATTAACTGTAATTATCTCTTATCAGAAGATTGTAAGAAATCCTTGCTTTCCTAATAGTTTAAACTCCTCTCTGCTGCTAGTAAACAAAACAACTGGAAGCTGCAAATTTACAATACACAAGGGGGCGGAGCTATCATGTCATCTCAGAACTTCTTTCACGCATGTGTGAACAAAGCAGTCCCAGAAAGCAGTCCCAGGGACAGCTTGGACTGCTGGGTCTGCTTTTTAGAGCAGTCCCAGGGCAGTCCCATAGCGGTCCCAGAGCGGTCCCAAAGCAGTCCCGGGGACTGCTTTCTGGGACTGCTTTGGTGTCAGGTTGGGTCTGGTTGGTACTGTAGTGTACTCCGATCGCAATGATATCTGCCACCTTCCTGCCAATGCGCGAATAGTGATCCAGGCAATCACGTGGTATGTTAAGTAGCGTTCTACTCAAAAAAGCTAAACGATTTTTCCAAGTTTTGTATATTACCATGTATGTTGTTTTTATAACAAGAACAATACATCAGTCAGAAATGGCCAAATATGAGATATAGGATCCGTGGATAAGGATATTTTTTTTCCAAGAATGAGCACAGAGATCATCATTAACCCTGTTCCTTTGTCTTGTGAGCGTTATTTATCCATTTTGTATAAATTGTGGATGTTTTATTTTATCATAGCTGATATGATTGCAAGACAAAAGTAAACGATATTTTAGAGATTTAATAATTATATTACGGTTAAGAAATTCAACTCTTTTTCTAACTTTAGCATTGGTATCTTTTATAACTTTTATTGTTCAACTAAGGACATATATCTTCTCCATTTTCTTACACTGGACAACAGAACAAATATCAATTTTACCATCTCCCTTCAGTTACTTAAACATTCAATCAAATTAATGACTGGTCTATTGGCAAGTCTTGAGTATTCATAAACTTTGTAAAAAAAATTATTGTACTACTGCAACGCGATTTCAAAGATAAGCTTTAAACTTTTCAGCCGTTAGTTGCTCGAGTATGACAGAGTCAACTTTTTTTCTAACGATTCACCAATGTAAAAATCATTTTCACTTTGTGAGGTCGCAGACATGGGGTAAATTATCACATAACATCTGCTTTTGTGTCACTATATTTGTATATAATTTCATTCTGATTCAAATTGTGGTTCTGTAAATATAGAAATAGTTTGCAATTTTTTTTATCACCCCTTCGTACAAAAAAAGAAGAGAATTTTTCCTTTTCTTTTTAAAAAAAGAGGCGCATTGTTTATTTATTAGCTGACTGTAAATCAATGCTATAATATGTTTTATATAGGTTGTGCTACTCCCATGCGATATGGATCAAATTGTTCCCTTCTGTGTCCAGTAAATTGCAAGCAATATTGCAACATACAATTAGGAAATTGTTTTCAATGCAGTCCCGGCTACAAGGGTGAACAATGTGAACAGAGTGAGTCTTCTTCATAATTTAAAAAAAAAATATGCTCAATTTCAATACCCAATTTAAAAACGTCATTCTTTCCCTTTCATGATCTTGCATGCTGAAATAATGTTTTTGATTTTTTTTCTTTATGTAGAAGAGTTCATTCCAAGCATTCATCATGAAACAGTCTTTTAATGTTTACTTTAGAATTAGTATCTGGAGTAATAGAACAAAATCAAATTTAAACATTTCAATTTTATTTCGTTTAAACGCCATTTTCAGAGGTATGACTCTAGACATTATAAAGTGTATAATTAGTAAATAGCTCAATTTTGACCCGGCTTCGTGACCCCATTTTTGCCGTCTTGAATCGTTGATAATTTTGATAATTATCAAGATATTTTCCTTTTTTTGCTCAAATTGTTCGAATTTATTGTTAAAATATCTGTACTAAATCTGTTTATAATATGACGTTACATAAAAAGTTATGACAAAAGTCTACGAACTTTTTGAATGACCCTCGTATACCGATGGAGGGCTCCAAAATTTTACTTTTTTTCCAAACTCAGTGCCCCTTTGCATTGAGAGTTTTTATTAGCATATGCATTGCATGACACGGGGCATTGGTTTTTGAATTTCGTCCGAAGGACCAACAGCGTTCACGTCAACGCTTAAATCATTTTGCGAATTTACATTTGTTCTCAATATTAATCGACTTACGTCAGTTGTGGTTGTGAATCAAACACGGAATTAGACCTCTACCGACTATGCTACATGACGGTCGGCAATGCATAAAAAACAACTATAAACCTTAAAATATGTGCTATTTTACATTGATTGAATTTGTTAGATAGAAACAAACACACAAAGTTTATGTTTAACTTTAACACACGCTTTCATGTTATGTTTTAAAAGTTATTACATGTACTAATATATGTTACAGTTTTCCAAGCTTTTGAAATTTTCATTTTAAATATTAAAAACACATTTGGAATTGTAATTTCATCATATATGTAACTATACATAATTGAAATTAAAATTTCCGAATTAGATATGGCGGAACACACTAATAAGGTTGACTAAGTATTGAAGTATTTTAAGGATTTTTTTCTATCAATACATATTATATTACTCTCATATGATATATTGTATAAATTCCTCACTTTATAAGAATGCGACGGAAACCTATATGGCCGTAATTGTAGGGAAACCTGTGGCAGTTGTCTGTATCTACGTCAGTGTCATCACGTGAATGGTTCTTGCAAGGACGGGTGTAATCCAGGATACCAAGGGGAGAAATGCGATAAAGGTAACAAAGGTCCATTACTACATGTGTATTTGGGATTTAACACGTTTAAATGATTAATAAAAGATATGACATACATGTGTCAATATTAATAACGATTCTTTAAACGGAGACAGTAGACATATATGGTTTGCTTTAATTCATAAAAGCACGAAAGAATAAAACAAAGCGATCGTTGTACAATTTTTATGCTACTTTTTGGGGATGGGTAAGAATCAGAGAACGAAATGGAGGTGTCTTCATTCTAGACAGAGAAAATGATCAATTTAATGTAAATTAGAAGAAATAGTTATAAAGGCTACATGGGTTTACATTTCATTATGGTTTAAAACTTATACACACTGTTTTTAAAGATAAGGCATATATGTGTCTGTTTTCTCAAAGACTTTTTCTTATTATTAAATTTAAATGATTTAATTAAAATATGTAATTTTTTCAGAATTTCCATACAAAGAAGTAAACCAGTGTAAACATTTTTCATGTATATACGTGTACACCTAAATATGCACCAGTATTCTGCATTTTTGTGTCAAATAATTTCCTATCAGTGTGATGTTGTTTTATCAAAAATTGATTTAATTTCTTACAAGTGATAAATTGATATCTATTTTCACTGAAAAAATATAATATGTAGGAATTCATTTTTGTACCATACATTTGACTGATATTTTTCTCTTCTACTTTCAGTATACAATTCTTGCAGAAAAAAATTGAATTCGATTATAATATTTTGCATGTTTTGGTGTAAAAAAAAAAAAATTGTTTAATTTCTTATTTTGACCAAAAATATGTAAGATTTTTCTGTTTTCAGTTTGTAGTTTTGGTTATTTTGGATCCGACTGCAAAGAGGAATGTAGTGCATTTTGTAAGACAACACGTGACTGTCATTACGAGACAGGTTCCTGTACCCAGGGCTGTAAATCAGGCTGGCAAGGACACGATTGTTTCCAAAGTAATTATAACAATAAAATTATACATCATTCATTTATTGTCACTATTTGGTAAAATTGGAATACACATTCTCCTTTAGATATAAATTTTTATTTATTTTATTATTTTTGGCTATTATCATTATTATTATTTTCTTTTCGTTAAACAGTAAATTCTATGCCTAAATGAAATGGTATGCTTGTTGTACATGAACAAATATATTGCATGAGGGGAAATTTTTTTATGCATAATTTATTTGTATAATACAGAGTGAACGCCTATCTAAAAAAAAATATTGAATTAAATATATCATTTAAGAGAACTGACAAAGAGATATAGAGCCTACATTCTTAAATGTTTTAGAGAAGTAGCATTCGCAAGCAAATCACAGTTTTCATAATTTTTTGAAAAATCAACAATGAATTTATATAGAAGATATTAAACATTAATAAATGGTTTCAGTCCAAGCAAAAGAAGAGAATGACTGGCCGTCTCGATTTTATGGTCTTCTTGCTGCTTTTTGTGTATGTGAAGCAGTCATAATTGTTATGTTAGTGGTGGTGTTCCTGCAACGGTACTTCACGTATTCATCTGAATTAAACCTTTCGAAATCTAAATTTCTAAATCTATTTTTTTTTGTTGTAAAGGAAGCAAAATATTTCCGAAGTTATAATTTAATTGAGTATATTTTTTCTTTCATTTTCAGACGTCGCATGATCGTAAGGAAAGCACAGAAAACTTTGAAGGAGAGTAAAAATCCTCAATGCAATACTGGTTACGTAGATGTAATGTCCACTGAAAAGATTAAAAGTGAATACCAAGAGCTAAGTGACATTAAAGAACCCTCAACGTATGACGTTATCAAATGATAAGCGTCAGCAATAGACGTTGGGATATTCCTGCAGACCTTAGATGAGAAATAAAATTATTATTTCTTTAAGATTTTTTTTTCTTATTGCACATGCCATTACAAATCACAGATAAGGATAAAAAAGTTTGTTTATTGACCGAAGCTAAGCCAAAGTCAACATTGAAAATTTTAGTGGACACTAAACTATAATTTGAACAGTTTGGATTAGTTATTAGTCCAATATGTTTAATGCAAAACCTGATGTAAGATTCCGAATGCAAAGGCTTCTTAATTAACATTTTATAAAAATCTGTCTTAGTGAGGTTGATAGAATTGATTGTAGGTGTGTAATAGTATTTAAACAGTGTTAGATACATGTACATGTAGGTCTGATTTGCTTCATATCCAAATGATGGAATAGTGTACTCTACCGATGCGATAACTGCACAAGTGTTTCAATATATTGCAGCATCCCTGAGCTGTATTTTAAACTGACAATACATCCATTCATTGAAAGTCAATTCTTTCAAACCTGCTGCACCCTCTTTTGCATCTCTTGAACAATTAAATCGCCAGATTTCTTCCCTATTGAGTATAAATTGGACAAAATGGATGAGCATGAAACGCCACAAACACTACCATCTTATTGCATTATCAAGATATCATTGGTGTACGCAGGGGAATACCGGGTAGTGATCTTTAATGACATTGAATTTGTTACAGTTCTTAAATTCTCTAGTCATTATTATGTTCCCCAAACGAAGTTGGGGAACATATTGTTTTTACTCTGTTTCTTATTATTATTATTATTATTATTATTATTATTTTTCTTCTTCCTGGGAAAATTTTGTCCACGAGTGATCTTGTAAACTACACATCCGACTTAGGGGAAACCTTTTTAGGGTTAGTAGGCATGTTATGTAGAGTTGCCAAACAAAGGTCATTTTGCGCGCACGTGCTTGCAAGAGCGCGCACGTGCAATAGGTGAAATTACCAATATAATGGATATTGCCGTAACTTTTCTATTTTTTGATGAAATTTTTTGAAACTCATAATGTAAGGATACATTAGTAGTATAAACAAGATAGCATGGTCAAAGTAGCAAGATCTCACGCGCATGCACGTGCGCTTCGCTCTGATTGGCTGAAACTAAAGTCTCAATAACTTTCTTGTTTCTTGTCATAATCCTTTGAAATTTTGAACATAGTCCTACATTATGAAGATCTACCGCATGATATATAAGAATTTTCATGAAAGCATGCGCATGTGCGCGTGCTGCAAGCTGATTGGCTGAAACTTTAAATGGCAATATCTCCTTTGTTTTTTGACGAAATTCTTTGAAATTTTAAATATAGTCATGCATTAGGATATCCTACAAAATGATATAGAAAAAAAATCATGAAATCACGCGAATGCACGTGTGCTGCAATCTGATTGGCTGAAACTTTAAATGGCTATTTCTCCTTTGTTTTTTGACGAAATTCTTTGAAATTTTAAATATAGTCATGCATTAGGATATCCTACGAAATGATATAGAAAAAAAATCATGAAATCACGCGCATGCACGTGTGCTGCAATCTGATTGGCTGAAACTTTAAATTGCTATTTCTCCTTTGTTTTTTGACGAAATTTTTTGAAATTTAAAATATAGTCATGCATTAGGATATCCTACAAAATGATATAAAAAATCATTAAATTACGTGCATGCACGTGTGCTGCAATCTGATTAGCTGAAACTATAAATGGCTATAACTCCCTTGTTTTTCAACCAAACAGGATGGAATTTAGAACATAGATAGATGTAAGGGACTCCTACAAGAAGGTATGATCATCATGCACGTGCACGCACGTGCATGCATTTGAAACGAGTATATTTAAAAATACTCTTGAATGAGTGATTTTTATTACTTTTGGACTGAATGCTTTAATATATAGTATATTAAAATATATAAATAGTGTAGACAAGATGATATGGTCATAACGCACATGCATTCACATGCGCTTGGTTGCAATGCTAAAAATTGAATATAATTGGTATCCTTCTGGGAAAGCGTTGTAAAAGTCAAAAAAGGAAAGAGTTTGTCTTATTTAATGAAGCTTACAGGGTACATGGCACCGAAAGGGAGTTGGGGAGCGTTTGGGGAACATCTGTAACGGTTCCCGTTACAATTAGCACTAGTTACATTTGGACTGTTGACCAATTGATCACCGCGTCCTTAATTAGTCATCTTTTAAATAATCTTTACTTTTGATGTGTCACTAAAAATTAAAATAGGGTTTCTTGTTTTGGAGGGTATATTAGTAAATTAGATTGCCCGCCCCCCTCACCCCTTCCACGCAAAAATGAACCGAAATGTATTTGTAAAAATCATTATTACTAGTCTTCAACAAACAAGGTTGACGTATTTTATAGTCTTCGGACGTTGCTCTTCTTTTGTACATGTAGTTGGTGAAAATGTATGGTGTGAAATTTTCAACAATATCCAAATCTGAAATGGTGTGCTGGGCAAGGGATATAATCTTTGATGATTTAATTTTTCACACGACTATGCATTTTTTAAATTCTTAATTGTATACAAAGAATATCGACAAAATTTATAACAAAATCAACAAAATAGATATGAAAAGGACAAATAAAAATAAAACCGATATTTCGATTTCTATATAACTAGTTTTCGATTTTGATTTTTTTTTTTTGATGAATAGAAAGTTATTTTTGTGCACGTAAATACTAAAACATGTTTCTTAATTTTTTTCTCCTTCGTTTTTATTACCAAGGCGTGTCTTTCGGGGGCTGCTGAAGGAAATAAAAACAAAAACGACCGGCCTTTAATATGAAGCTACAAAAAGATATATTTCAGTTCACAAGTTCACAGTTTAACTTGTAATATAAGATCCTTGATTTTCTTTAATTATGTTTACGCGGAAAAGGGCGATGGTTATGAAATTTAATGTATGCATTAATTTCTGTAAAGAAAGCGTTAAAAAACAGAAAACAAGGGGCCTTGGATTTAGCAGACGTGGGAACACTTGCCTTAGAGGTGTTTTTCTCCCCTCGATTTGTAAAATAATCAATGGATCTAGATAAATAAAGGTCATAAATGATTATGAGAATTTCATATGTTCTATATTTTTTTTTCTGGACTCTTTTGACCCCATAATGATGTGTAATTGTCTTTTGTTCTCCGTTTTCTTTTTACTTGAATAAATGATTTTTTTAATTTAATCTTTCAATGCTGCTGTTATTTCATTATACTTCATCAACACAAACTTCAGTCGCCTTGATTTTGTACTGATAAAAAAAAACAAAAGTCAAGAACACACATTAATTTGTTTGTTTTATCCCTGCATAATGACGAAATTTATTTTTATCTAACTCACTATTTAAATATTTATCATTTAAGCAAAAGCAATCATTTCCTTTTTGTGATTTTTCAATTGCATTGTTTGTTAGAGAAAAAATGGGTAACCATATTTGTATAAAGCGTAACTATATGTCAAATTTTAACATGCAGTAAAGTATCTCTTGATCTAAGTATTGTGCATTAGTAATACACTTATACTTTGAAAGCCCCATGATTTTACACAACGTATGCATAAATATAAAACTGCTTAACTTTCCGAGCACAACTGCTGCTAATATCCATTTTTTTTTTTGGAAAATGGCTGTCTTAAAAACAATTTATTCAGCATTGTTTTGTTATGTTTTTTTGGCAAGAAATTTCTTACATGCATACCTTCTGGATTTATGTCCGAAACCGCACATTTGGGACATGTTTTCTAACTCATTCATTTACTTATCTCATATGAAGTCAATAACATAAATATTAATTATCGTTCCTTCTTTCTATGTATTATACAATTTGTTTACCTAGATTCGTATTTCTTCCTCTTATTTATTATTCTATCATAACTAGGACGTTTAGCAGCAGACAATCTATTGAGTTGAGACTAGGATATTCAAATGATAAAAAAAACATAATTTTAAACCGGAAGAATTTATTTAACACCACATTTAGTCAAGTGTAACATTGCTAAGACATGACGTTAGCTAACATTATAATATATTTCATGGTATTAAGAAATGATGACACTCTTGCTTATGGTGAGTTTCTGGTTTTTATGAATATGCATTTTATCATTGTTTTTTGTTACTTATGAGAAAAATTCAAAGAATTTTCCATTTTCCAAAACCTGTAACATTATATAATGTCTCAAGTAAAGAAAAAAAATACATGTTTGTATCATATGTCTTTAAATATATATAATGGCGTGTCTGCAGAGCTGCCCAGTTATTTTAACGATTTTAGTTTAATCTCAACATTATTTTTTATGATTAAAAAGAAAATATAAGACCAATTGAAGTGAATTTTAAGTTATATTAAAGTGCAAGATTGTTTCCCTGCATTATACTAAACAATGATGCAGCATATATTAAGTTCTTAACAATATCTAGAGCAGTTGTAAATACGACTTAATTTAAAAGATGTATTAAATATAACAATTAATATACCATAACAAATGAAACAAGGACACTGGAAAGGGGAACATCTTCTTTCAAAGAGCATATCCAGATTTCAAAACAGCAAAAGGCATCAATCCTTCAGCAAATTACTCTACTTTCGTTTCGTTAAGAGCCTACTCTCTCACCCACACACGAATGTTTGATTTTAAAACTCCGAAGATAGTAAATGATTGAACTTAGCGATGCAAAATGTAGATTGCATTCTCTTTAGAAAACATAGCTTTAAACAAACCCACACGACAATCACAGCCGTATTGGAGTAAAACTCATCCACCTGATACATTCGACTCCAGCAATGCTGTTGATGGTCTGAAGACAAACCTCTCTGCCTATGGAGGACAGTGTGTTGTGTCAGCTGATGGATACAGAACTGCCACCTGGTGGGTTAACTTGACGTCCATAAACAGTATTCACGACATAAGGATATATTACAGGACGGAAAATGCACCATGGAGTCAGTAAACACATTTCTTTTACATTTTAAAACATTTTTGAGCTTCGGTCTTAGGGGAGTGATCATGGGCATAAGTCCAGACAAAATGTTGTATCAATTTTTTTTCAATGCAATTTTTGTGTTTATTAAATATATACTGAAGATTGAAAAAACTATACATTTTCTTAAGCGTAAGTAAAGGGTCACACGTCAAATACATTTTTGAATTCTGAAGAGCTCAGGTTTAGCACATACACTTTTTGTGAGTGCAACGAATTTATAGTGTTCTTGTATTTGCTTTTTACCACGGGATTTTTTTTTTTTACAAAAAGATAGAAATTGGATTCAGTTCTCGACATGCGCACATCCCTGTCCGAACGGTAAACTTTTATGTACATGAGTTTGTGAAGCGTTCGACTCATTCGCTATGTTTTCATCTCAGGTACATTTTACAATGTACCCTTAAGGAGAACTCATATTCATTTTTTAAAAATAAATATATTCAGACCATTTACCTTCTCAACTTGTACATGGGGTGATCAAAATCTATCTCTGTGTCTACAAAATCACAATTCAGATAAGAATAATATCTGGTACACATAAATCCAAACAAGACTTGAGATAAAAAATGGTGGACTCAGTTTTACACCTTCAACGAACGGATGTAAATTTAAGGCATATCTTTGAAATTCCTTTGCAATATCGTATAATAATTTGAAAACAGTAAATTAAGACAAAAGACTTCCTAGAAATTAAATCAATGATTGAATTGATAATTTTAGTGAAGAAAGGGAGGTGCTTAAAATTGATATGTTCTATTGTCCAGTGAAAGCATACTTCAAAAGAAAAATGCCTTTAATTAATCAATTTATTACGAAAAATCTTCAATTTACGGTTTGAAAAATAGTTGCATAGCTTAACAATAATATGAATATAAAATTCGTAAGATATCGTCTATTGATTTAAAACATTTGGGATATGATAAAAGAAATTATCCATACTATATCCACCTTGAATGAATGACTCCCTATGCTCGGGAGGTCGCCATGCTCATTCTTGGAAAGAGAAGTCTTACCTAATCATTCTCTTGCCGAGAAATGGCAATTTGAGACGAATTCACTTGTTATAAAAATAAATATGGAAACATATTAATGGAAAGATATGTAATCTAGAATATAAATTCAAATATCTAAGCTTTTGTGACATAACGGTACAAAACAAGTCACCTGACCACCTAAAACTCGTAATTCGCGCATGAGCAGAACAGTAGCAGATGTGCATTAAAATCAAAAAGGAATAATTTAAAATATGATTAACATTGAAACAGAATTTTCATTCTTTAATGGAAGGTATTCAATGAGTTTGCAAATTTTTGATCACCCATCGTATAAGTAATCTATAAGTTATTATTCTTCTTATACCATACATTGATCACTTCAAATAGGTCTACGTAGACATGATTGATCTTGTCCTTATATTATAAATCATTTATTATTAATTTTTCGAAAATATTTAAATCTCAGTCAGGTATTATAATAATGTGCATGACATATACTCGTATTAACTTTGTTCAAGGTTTACGGCGTTGGAAAAACCAAATTCCTCTGAAGTTATTTATTCTGCCCCAACCTATTTTATCGTCCTTTTATCAGCTTCGAATGGTTACACAGCTAGATTTTTAGGATTTGCTGTTTATGTATCTAATTCTACAAACCGACTTGATGGGTATTTATGTTTTCATAATACAAACTACACCAGGGTGACGATACCAGCCGTCGTCAACATAACCTGTACTTTACATACATTTACTTTCTTTTGGGTTTAAATCGTTGAAAAGATTCCTACGAGCTCCAACCCCCTCTTTCTTTCTAAAATATATTAGTACTTTTTTAATTTTGATACAGATGCATCAAATGGCTACACAGCTAGATTTTTAGGTTTTTATGTCTATGTATCAAATACAACGAGAAGACTCGACGGTCATCTATGTTTTCATGATACAAACTACTCGAGGGCAACCATACCGTCAATTGCCAACATAACCTGTGCTGTACACGGTCAATATGTCATCTACTACAACATCAGACCACAGGATGCTGCACGTGCTGCTGAATTCAGCCGAAATGCACACAACGAATTATGTGAAATTGAAGTCTACGGTATGCACTTTTCCCTTTTTTTATTTTTATAAAGTTGCCTGCTAGGTGAAGTGGTTCGAGCTTCTGCCTTAAAGTCACGGAGTTAGAAGATGATCAATGTCTCATCGGTTGAATCTAATTGTTGGACTTGGAAAACGGTACTTCGGATGAGATCATATAAACCAAGGTCCCGTGTCCCAAAAAGGTGTTGGCATAAAATAACCCCCTCTTGTTCAATTGTCATAAGTGACAAATAAAGGTATAAGTTTACAGCCCTTAACTAGCGGGTGATAACGCCTCCAAATAAACGATAAAAATTATAAGAAAAGAACAAAAAATGTTATACAACAAGAGATTATTATTATAAGTGCATGATGTGCACTGTATTTCAAAACTAAGTATTTAGTAGATATAATTAAACATCACTTATTCCTCATCCCATTTGCATCAGTCTTTGAAGTACACTGTTGTTTCGCCTGATATTAAAGTTTCAGTATGGTATTCTCCGCCCCTCTCTCTCTCATTCTCTCTTTCCATTTTATAAAACTATTAATTCTATTTATATTTGATGAAATCAAGAACTTTTTTTTCATCAAGAAATTTACTTCAAATAGGTCTTAATGCTGTTTTCAGTATTGTCATACTTTTCATGTAGCAAATAATTTATCAGTACTGAAATGAAAAACTGACCTTTTCAAAAATCATCTTGAATTTAAGATGAAAAATTAATCTTCAATCCCAGGTTGTAGCGAAACAGGAGTCTATGGATCTGACTGTTCCCTCCCCTGTCCTGACAACTGTCTTTATTGTCAAATAGAGACAGGTGCTTGTCAGGGATGTAAACCTGGGTACCAGGGGCATAGGTGTGAATTACGTAAGTAAAAGAATAAATATCATTTGGTATGTTTATTGTACAAATGACATTATTGCTGAATATTTTGGGAATGAAATAATTTTGTAACTTCCCTCAAAAAATGTGAAATAGTATTTTTTCACAGAATAACCAAATGTCTTTTTTTTGTTTTATCATGTTACTAATCTGACGGTCTGTCTTTAAGAAAAAGATTTTTTTTTCAATATAGCTTCATTTTTATTCTCAAATGGATCATTTTTAGGTGTGAGAAAAAGGACATCAATCAGCGAAACTCGTCCATAAAATTAAGTACGACCTTACACTCTTTACCAATGTTTGTGACATTGTTTTTAATTTTCATTTTGATTCATACATCATACTATAGTAAAGAGTGTTTCGGCGGCTCGCCTCATCAGGGGTCCACCTTAACAGTGTATTTTTGTGATAAACGGGATCTAATAATCATATGATCTATGCTTTTATGCTTCCTATAAGCTACAACTGGTTCAAAAGGATATGGGGATACGAGTATTCAATCTCAAAGTCCATAAAACAATACAAAACTAGAGCAGAGCAAACAAAGACCCCCATAACATCAGAGGTGGGATCAGGTGCCATGGAGGAGTAAGTATCCCCTGCCGACCGGTCATACCCGCCGTGTGCTCCTTGTCATGATCAGGAAATAACGGAAAAATCCGTCGTCAATTCAGTATATAAATAATGGACGAACAATTGGTATGAAAAACGCCAGTCAGCATTTGACTCAATGATATATTGTATTTGCTGACAAGGTCATTGTATCGACCATAGAACTTACGAAATGATGACTTTAAACGAACTGCTGATATTCTTGTTTATTCAACTTGCTTGTCAATAATTTACCTCGTTTAAGAAATTATTCATACATAGAGCATGCTCTTGCGTATCGAATCAACTGAGATATATATACTCCTTATGCAGGTGATGAAGGTATATAGCTGCATAAGTAAGAGAAGTTGACGATAGAAAAGTTAAAGTCATCACGTTTATCATATAGCTAGGTTGTTAGATTACCATTAGTGTCTTTTTTCAAGTAAAATATCCAAGTATGAAACAGAAGTGTCGGACTCTGTGGTATCTTTTTTCTCAAGCTCACCAGGATATATGGTATCTACGTAGAAATAAAAAAAATACCATTATTAATTGACAATACGTCGTCGATATATCTAAATGTCGAGTTGAAGGCCACAGCAAGTATTTTCTTCTTTTCGCACATAAGATTTTGCATTAATTCTGCTTCATATGAATATAAAAATAAGTCTGCAAATAACGGAGTGCAATTTGTACCTATGGGAATTCCAATAGACCTGTTGGAATACCTAGTCTCCAAAAACCACATAGATGCTGTTAATCAGAAACTCAAACATCTTTTTGATGTCAACTTCAGAGTACTTATGTGTGCAATCAGAATCTATTTTAACAAAATAACTTTACAAATGACCAATGACGAGGTAAGTAAATTTACGAGTTCCATTTTCATTGAAGAAACAGATGTCAGTAATATGAAAAAGCTTGGATTTCAATTTGTCGTGGGGAATTGTTGTGTATAAAGTTGAAAAGCCGTAAGTTTTTAAGTTGTTGATTTTTGTAAAGTCTTGTGATTTCAAAGTGTTCAAAAGTTCTTTAGATTTTTTAGGATCCACATTTGATTCACACCACTTCTTGAATATATAGTTGCAGAGTACTCTTGACGTTTTCCTTCACAACTGTTAGGAGTAACGAAAGAGGCTTGGTTAAACATTTACTGGAACCTGCAATGTATCTTTGTTTGTAAGGATTCTTATGAAGTTTTGGAATCCAATATATATAAGATAGTTAAAATTCATTTTGGCTCTGTGAAATATTGAAAGTATTCAAAACTGACAGGTGATTTTGAAGAATTTCTTCCTTAGAAAGGTAAGTATGAGTATAAGTAGGATTACCACTTGTAGAATTAAACCCAAGTTCTTCTAGAATGCAATTTATATAATAAGCCTTACAAACGAATTCAATGTTGTTACCTGCTTTGTCGGCAAGAAACAGTAGGTACTGATCGTGTAATCTCTCTTACTCCTTTTTCTCTTCTGGTTTATTGAACACAGAAGGAAATATGGCTTTCATATTTCAATCTTTAATACAGGACTTTAACATAGATCTGATACATTTAATCCATTCTGACATTGATCGAAGTAAATTATTTTTTGCATCTTGTGTCTGTTTTCATTTCATTCCAATATTTTAAGATGAGTCTTTTTAATCCTTTGATTCTCGGATTATATTTTGTAATCATAAATAATGGATTGCGGAGTTTAGATACACTGTTGTTTTTTTAAGCATCTTATTTCTGTTCGTTCCAGTTACGCCCGTGATAATAGGGTCTATTTCTGCATCAGAGTAGCCTCTCTTTGATAAGTGTTTCATGAAGTCTTCTAGGATTGTACAGAGGGTAGCAGTGTCATTGGTATTTCTCTTATGTCTTATGCATTCTTCCTTAATAAAACCTTTGAACACCGCTGGATTGTGAGAGCTTTCTCTGTGTAGATACTGAAAATTATTTGTTGGTTTAATGTACGACTTCTAGTGTATCTCACTCACTGGTTGATTGTATTAGCTTCAGTTTGACTGAAAGGAGGCGTGGCTATTCGCTTCTGCGCGCTTCTTCCATCTTGACATTGCTACTATTTAGCCAGTGCGAGTAAGCACAGCAGGATTAATTTTTGTGCCACTTATTTGTTTGCTTTGCAAATAATTTACGGAAATTTTATCACCAATTACTTAAGTGCCTTATACCCTCTATTAATACGCTTAAACATATTATACATGTAGACGTGGTGCTTTATTAAATTATCAGGAACATCATTTCATCCTCTGAGATAATTAATTCAATCAATAACCATTACTTTCATAAGCTATTCAAGCCGTTTCTAACAGTAGCTCGACGCTTTAGGCGTCAAGATACTAAGTAAACAGAAGAAAAGTGTGTTAAGATGCATTTGCTCATAAACAACGCATTTACGGAACAAGCGTAATAAATCCCAATAAAAATGTTCTTTATTTATCCTCATGTTGTCTTAAAGATAAAAAATACATACTGCTAGCCAAAGGACTTAAATTCATCCCGTCACCACAAAGCAGTAATGTCAAAATGCTTGTCCCTAAGGATTTTGACTGAGATTCAAATTCTTTTTACAGGGGAAAATAATAAACTTCATCCCTTCACAATATCTACTTGTTATTAACCCGATCAGGCATGCGGTGCTAATGAAAATTATATTCAAAAAAAAAAAAAAACAAATTAGAACAATCATCTATGCCAATAAAAAAAATCGGGATGATTTAACTAACCAGGAAAGGGCGGCATTGGTCTCATTAAAAACCAATTGCCATATTGTAATTAAAAAAGCTGACAAAAATAACACTGTGGTCATTATGGACAGAGAAAAATTTTGTCACTGAAGCTTTAGGTCAACTTGAATCAAAGCACTACCTTGAAGTTGGAAAATCTGATTTGTCATATTTACGTAATATCATACAAGAAAAAAACATCTGATATGTTTATTGAAGGAGCTTTAGACAAAAAAAAAAACAAAACATATCGTTATCAAAGTGAAAACGATTCGTCCCTTGAATGCGGATATTTATACTTGTTCCTTAGAGTACACAAGATCAAAGATAAAATCTTGTATGCCTTTATGAACGGCACTTGCAGCCTCAGACGGCTACCACCTGGACAAACAATTATTTTACAATGCGACACACCAACACATAGAATTGGTGCTTACTGTAATTACTTTCTAATCCCGATTGTTCAAAAACAATCGACGTACATAAAGGATACTACGGAATTCATCAATAAAATCGAAGCATGATCACTTACGATGTTACAAGTATGTATACTAACATGGAGTTTGATGAATCGATGAATTATTTAGCGCTGTTGAAGAAGCCTACCGTAATAACAATCGAGATTTATCAGATCTGCCTCATCCCGAGGTCTCAGATATCCTCTTTCTTCTAAAGTGCATACTTGAAAATAATTATTTTGAGTTTAATGGAAAATATTAAAAACAAATAATCGGTTGCCCGATGGGTTCAACTGTTTCCCCGAGGGTATCTGCTATAAGAGTTTTCCAGATAACTCAATCAATCATGGCGCAATTTCAATATGCCAATAAAGTCTAATTTCACGGCAGATTTAGAGATGATGGTTTCATCTTTTTCAATGGATCAGAAAATGAGATTCTTGATTTCTGTCAAATTGGCAATGAATGCCACCCACACTTGAAATTCACTTTTGAAATCTCAACTGACTCTGTGAATCTTTTAGACACAACAGTGTACAAAGGAAGGAAATGTCAAGAATCCAACAAACTAGATATTAATTCGTACATTAAACCAACAAATAATTTTCAGTATCTACACAGAGAAAGCTCTCACAATCCAGCGGTATTCAAAGGTTTTATTAAGGAAGAATGCATAAGACATAAGAGAAATACCAATGACACTGCTACCCTCTGTACAATCCTAGAAGACTTCATGAAACACTTATCAAAGAGAGGCTACTCTGATGCAGAAATAGACCCTATTATCACGGGCGTAACTGGAACGAACAGAAATAAGATGCTTAAAAAAACAACAGTGTATCTAAACTCCGCAATCCATTATTTATGATTACAAAATATAATCCGAGAATCAAAGGATTAAAAAGACTCATCTTAAAAAATTGGAATGAAATGAAAACAGACACAAGATGCAAAGAAATATTTACATCGGAACTAGTTTTAGCTTATAGAAAGCGCAAAAGCATAGGCGATATGATTATTAGATCACGTTTACCATAAAAATACACTGCTAAGGTGGACCCCTGATGAGGCGGACCTTAAGGCATATAGCCGTTTTAAAACCGTTGAAACACTCTTTACTATATTATGATATATTTATCAAAATTAAAAAAATATCATAAAGTTTGGTTAAGAATGTCGGGTTCTTATAAATTTCATGGACGAGTTTGGCTGATTGATGTCGTTTTTCTAACACCAAGATATCAATTTTGTCAATTGTATAAGCTGGACATTTCTTAAAAATACATTTATACAACTGATACAAAAAAATCTCCATATCAAGTATATAAGGGCTTTGATTTTTTCACATATAATTGCCTTATACAATGAGTCTTCTGCACAATTATTGTGATTAATATTCCACATTTATTAAATCAGCTTGTAGTCATCAGTTTTATGGAGAACTTTGTTCACTGGCATGTGGTAACTGTAGTGAGGGAAGAACGTGTCACCATGTGAACGGAAGCTGTACAAACGGATGTGACGTCGGTGTTTATGGGGACAAATGCAAAACACGTAAGTTCATTCACTAATTAATTTATTGATCAAATGATTAAATAATTGACTGGATATATTGAATTACATCTTGTTCGAGAATTCATTTAGTGATGTCGAACATGTTTATTTTTTTAATTTACATCCCTCACTAAAAAAAAAATCAACGAACACCGTTTTTTTTTAATCATCATGACATTTACGATTTTTACTGCATAACATTTCCCTTTATAGAGTAAAATAAATACTTCAGAAAAACAATTCTACACAGATGTTACCAAATTTGAACCTAAACTGTCGCTGAAAAATTGATCTGTGTATGAGTTATATGTATTCAAGTAGTTAAATTTAATTTCCACATAAGGTATAAAATTAAAGTTCATAGTTTTGATATTGAAGTGAATGGTTTAAAAAGAACAAAGTATATAATGGTTTAAGATTATTTTTGCTGAAAATCTTAAACTCTATTCTCTCTCTCTCAAAAAAAAAATACCAAGAGTAAATTATCAGTCGCAAAAGCATTCTACATGCATTTTAATGTTGTGATATTAAACGTGCATTAAAAAAAATATTTTTCCTTCATGAGAAAATTTCTTGATATAAATTTAGTTGCCTTTAGTTGTAAATCAGTTAACTTTCTTTCTCTCATTTTGTTTTGTTTTGTTTGTTTTTTTTAATCACATTCAAGATTAATAGTTTAAATTCATCTGAAAGTCTCCATTCAATCAAATATAAAAAACAAGTAACCTCCAAATCAAATAAACAAATCCTTTATTGACGATATAACAATATAATAAACATTAAATTAGACAGCAAAAATACATTAATAATTAAAGATATTATTAACTTTTGGAAATCTTAGAATCTAATGTTTTAACGAATTATAATGTTTTAAAATATGAAAAGTTTTTATAATCTAAAAGGGAAATGATTTATCTTTTTTTGACATTTTGAAAGACAAGTTTTAAACATATAGCACTCTTAACTTTAGAGATATTTTCCGTAAGCGAGAAGTTCAGTCAAAACATTTTAGCTCATTACATTTCAAAAATATTGTTTATTGTCTAAAATAAAACGTAAAATATAAAAAAAAAACTGTCAAATCTATTTTTTTCTTCTTTATTGTTTTCAAAATAAAGCATTCATCATTTCTTCAAAAGTACTGCCATGTGAATATACAGAAAGTTAAAAATGTTAATTGAACCTGTTTTTGAGACATTTTAAGTACTCTATAATTCCTTAAGGGGATTATATTGTTCATTTACTCATTGTTTTTATCAGAATATGAGTTTCAAATTTAAGAAAGGAAAAAATGAAAAAAGGGACAATTTATCTTTATTAGGACAAATATGAATGAATACTACTGATATCGTTTATTACATTGTATTTATTTGTTTTTTAAAGAATATTAGTTTTAAGGTATTTTGTAAGTTTTTTTGTTTTTTTTTTATTGTTGATAAAACTCAGGGACAGTAATCTTACAGTTTATTTTTTCTTATTTCGTGGTTTGAATATTTACGCAGCTAGGATAAGGCTGCCCGTAAAATATCAAACTGTTCAAACTGTAGTTACTTCTCTGAACTACCTAGATATGACGTCATAATAGAATATGACGTCAAGTCACTGCATACTTGAGCTGACATGACGGGGAAAGTGTCATAATTATTACACGGCATGTAGATTTATTACGGGGATTTGTGTTAAATTTAAGAGTAAGGGTTGTTTTTTGAGCTTTTTTGCGCTATTATAATGTTTTACATTTAATATTTAAACGTCTCTATTTCTTTTGCTTGTCCAATATGCATATATTCAAGCAATAACAAAAGATTATGTTTGAAACGCTCCCCTTACACTTCCCTGGACAGAGTTAGAATTTTTGAATCGTGTTTATATTGGACTGGCACAAGTGAAAGACAAGGATAAATTGAAGATATTCTGCGTGAATCTACAAGAGAAGTATGTCTTCTAACTGAATTTTGCTGGGGGATCGTATGTAGTTTATCAGTTTTTGAATAAATCGCGATAAAGTGCGGAAAATACCCCTCTTTACGTTGGTAATTTTAATTCATCGTAAAATATTTTCTTAAGAGGTACAAATGAAACCTGCCCCCAGCACTTTTTATGTACCAGGGATAACGATTAATTGATCTATGTAACAAACTTTGCACAATATTTTCGTTTTGCACTTGTGCCGAGGCGATTTTTGTGCAACATTGAAGAATATCAAAAATGTCCATCACGTGATCAGCACAGTCATCTACCATCACAGAAATGCTTTATTAAAATACCTGTTTAAACTGTTATCTCAAGTTGATTGCAGTTTCAAACATGGATCACATATTGAAATTAAAATCAAGCTCAAAATCAAATGTATATTTTTAAGATATTTTAAGCCTTCGGACAGCCTTATCATAACTGCGTACCTCTGAATAGAAAATGGTCATTAATTTATGTTTTGAGAAAATAATTCCTAAAAAATCTTAAATTATCTACTTATTGAAAATGTGTTGAAGCATGCCCCGATGGTTTGCATGGGCAAAACTGTTCTAAGATGTGTATCAACTGTGATGAATGTGACAGATTCTCTGGACAATGTACATCTCCCTGCAATACTGGATGGAAAGGACTCTTTTGCAAAGATGGTACCTTTGTTTATCTATTTCCCCCCTCCCCCCCTTTTTTTCTAATATCCTCTATATTAAACAATTATATATTAAATACGTTTAAGATACATGTATTTAAGAAATGAAGTGATTTTTAATATAGTGTAAAAGGCCTTTTTTACTGAAGCACGATTATATCGACATTGATGTAAAAAAGAACAACTAATTTTCTAAATGGGAATAGGATTTTGTCAAACGCAAAGTGGAAAGTGCAAATATTCTCCAAGAGACTGTTTAACCAAATGCTACCTGGAAGTAGTTCATTAATTTTTCTTTTTTTTTTTACTGTTTTAAAATTCGAATGCTAACTGGAATTACAATACTTTTTCTTTTTAATGGCAAGACATGTTTGAACTACAAAAGCTGAGAGATTAGCCGACGTTTCTACATGTATTTTCAGATAGACACCGATGATTGTATTTTTTTTTACTAACAAAAATTAACAAAAAAATCTTAGTGTTCTCTATATGGATAAAATTAGGTCATGTCTAGATTACGCTGTTCCATTTAACACTATAGAGTTAATTATGTCTCAATTGAATACAGACAACTTAAACTTTCCTTGAATAAAAAATAGGTTTTATATAATAGAAGATGTGCTTGTAAGATTATATACTGATTATTTTTTATGAATGTACAGTACCAAAATCAATTTTCTATTTTATTGATTTTTCCACTAAACAACGGAGTTTATTTTGTATATCAGGGAAGTCCATGGAACAGTTCCGATTAACATGAAAACATTCATTCATCAGTTACATTATGACACATTCATGAGGTGTAATAAAGTATTTCATTTGATAATCAAATGTTTATTTCGACTTTGCAGGTTTTTATCCAACCGGTTATTTTTTTTTTATTGCGTTCGTGGTTTTTTTGGAGAATTATGACCACGACATTTTTTAATCTCAAAAAAAAAATGTTATAGTAGTCAAATTCAAATAAAAACTATTAGTCATAAACATGCAATTTTTTGAGCAAATTTATTTGGAATTGAGAAAACATTCATGAATATGGTGAGTTGTTAACTGTTTCATTAGCTTGTAGTGCAAACTTTTATGGATATAGCTGCTCTTTGAAATGCGGTAACTGTACAAAGGGAATGACCTGTAACCATGTCAATGGAAGCTGTACAAACGGATGTGACGTCGGTGTTTATGGAGTTAAATGCCAAACACGTAAGAGCTATCAAGAATTACAAAATATTTTTTTGTCAATTGTCATATTCCTTTTCTATCTTGGCTGAATAACATGGAGTGGATAAACTCATGTTGCAAGTCTTCTTTAAAAGAATACCCGTTTCGTTCATATGGAGTTCTCTACGTGCAAAAAAATATTTAAACAAAAATGCACACTAACCTGTTCAATTATACAGGTGTTATATATAATGTTATATTCTTTACATGTATACGTGCAGTTCCCAATTCATTTAGATTTTTTAAAATTAATACTGTTATAATTAAACATAGATATATCCTGAATTTATTTTGAAAATGTATTCTTAATGGCCAGATAAAATTATCTTCCTACTTATTCAATTTTTATATGTAGTGATAAGAGGCAAAAACCAATATGTTTTGAAGAAGACCCCATTTCATTTTCAAATTTATTAAAATTATTTAGAAAAAAAATATAATTTATGAATGCATTCCCCTTTCCAGCGATCATAGCTACATGAAAGGGTTAATTTCATGACCCTTTAAATAGTATGTGGTTTCTATACAATGCCTCAGCATCTCTCTTTTTTATTTCAGTGAATAAAAACTTTTCCCATTCAGATCCTCCCTATGCTAAAGAACCTTTTAATAATATAAAAAAAACATATTTGCTATCTAATTAGTTTCGTTTTCAATTCTAAAATAATTGAATGTCATCAAAGATCTAATTTGAGTGTTTGATATACGTGTATTATAATGACTCATTTAAATTAGATTTTTTTTTATCTCTACCTTAAATATGCCTCAGCATGTCCCGATGGTTGGCACGGTCATAACTGTTCTCAGATGTGTAACTGTGATGAATGTGACCGATTCTCTGGACAATGTACATCTCTCTGTAAACCTGGATGGAAGGGACTCTTTTGTTTAGATGGTACAGTAATTTTGAATCTTTTCAAGAAAATAATGAAAAACTATCTTTAAATTCAACAAGACTTAATCATAAAGAATAGATATAACTTTATGAATGCTGTATTGCTTTTTTTAAGCGGAATTATATGACAGAGATATCGTGAAGAAATAAATAACAATTCATTCCATTCTTACCAAAAATGGCTTTTATAAGAAATAGAAGATTAAATGATTGTATTTCGTGTTACGTCTCGTTCTTGAAACTTTCACTCATATAGAAAAAACACCATATACTGGTGAAGGGCTTCAAATTTTGACCTTTACTTGGCACGCAGTGAAATTGAGCTATGAGAGATCTTTATCATGCTTACACCTGTCGTGATAGAAACCTCGGCTTTTAAGATCTCATCCCAAGGATCTGCAAATTTTGTTTCAGAATCCGCAACCAAGGATCAACTTCCACTTTGCAACTCTAGAGCAGTACTATGTGTTGTCGATTTCAACCTTAACTGCAAAAACTAATTACACGTACTTTCATAGAAATAATGATTGTTTTAATGAATATCGGCTTTTTCATCTCTGACGCTGATCATTGCACACTCACACAACATTAAAAATATCAGAATTTTGAATCAAAATTTATACAAAAAAGAGAATACCGAGATAACTTTTCATATCATTAAATACTTTCTTTTTCTTGCAATGGTAGCTGCAGTGAGACCATCAGATTGAAAAGCTAATTTAACTATCGGCATCAAGCATATATATATATATATATATATATATATATATATATATATATATATATATATATATATATATATATATATATATATATATATATATATATATATATATATATATATATATATAAAGATAACTAGGAACTGAATGTAAATTAATGTCTCACACCCAATCCCAGTACTCGATCTTGAAGGATGAAGAACTATCTGATTATTTGACAAAATAAGAAAATGTGATTAAAAATTCACATATTAAAAGTTATTAAATTATTATAATTTTATATATTTATTTATTTATTTATTTTTTTTTTTTGGGGGGGGGTATCTTTTTCATTGTCGACAAGAAGGAAATCTCAGAATTCATTTTTGGGTGTAATCTGGAGGTCATAAATCAATGCTTAATTTTGACATTGTCGTTAGGTAGGATCTTAAAAAATCCAGTTGGATCGCTTCAAATTGTTCAATATATTACGACACAATATCTTTATTGAATACCGGTAAGTATATTGATATCACCAATAGATTGTGATGGTGGCAGATATGGACAGAATTGTGGACAGAGATGTGGAGCCTGTCTGGGATATAAACAATGTCATCACATCAATGGGTCTTGTCTTGAAGGCTGTGATGCTGGGTTTGAAGGGAATCTTTGTAAAACGGGTAACCAATAAATGACTCATACTCCGCATTTCTGATTGACATTATTTTTTTATTTCGTTTATCATCAACCATTACAATTCACAATACGTAAACACTTAGAAGACCAATGACTTTCAAGATAGAAATTGATATTAGGTTGTTCATCTGGAAAGTTTGGAATCAACTGTCAGCAGATTTGTAATAAAAACTGTGGTGTACAATATCAATGTAACAGAACAACAGGAGATTGCGAGGGTGGATGTCAACCAGGCTGGGAGGGATTTCGATGTGAACAAGGTACAAAATAAAGGTCTTAAAATTGGTAATGGCTCTTGCGCTATTAATTTTTCTTATGGCATCCATGTGTACAAAAAGTTGACAAGTGTATTTTTTTCAGTGTGTAAGCAAAATAAGTACGGTGAAAACTGCTCTCAATCATGTGGATTCTGTCAGAACTCAAACTGCCATCATGTTAATGGTTCTTGTCCAGGAAAATGCTTGGATGGATATCAAGGAACTACTTGCAATGAAAGTAATCATTATTAATGTAGAAAAAAGTAATTATGACGGCAGGAATTCAATACTTTTATATGAAGTAAAATAACATTTCATGGTTTTAGAAGTCAGGTTGTCAAAGTTTTGATTTTGCAAAGATATAATGAACTTTTAACCTTTAATGACAGTATGTGAGGCAGGATTGTATGGGGGAAATTGCAAGAAAGAATGTAGCCTCTTCTGCAAGTCATCGCGTGACTGCAACCACGTGACTGGACATTGTAATGAAGGGTGTGTTAGTGGATGGCAGGGTCCTGTGTGTTTGCAAGGTTTATAGTCTACTTTATATTATCACAACATTGAAATAAACAGATATTTAGCAATATCAAAAAATCATAAATAAATGAATCAAATTTGATTTTCTTTAATATGCAGTTGCAGCGAAAACGGATGATACTGTTAGCGTTTCAAAATTTAATGGCGTTCTTGCCGCTCTATGTGTCTGCCTTATACTACTCGGAATTTCAATTGCTTATATATTTATTTATAGGTAAGATTTCTTTGATAAATATTTAAGGGCAAACATATCTTTCTCATCACCGCTATACAGAGTAAAATTAAAATCAATGGCTGTATGAAATTTCGAAAATTAGATTGGATATTTTAACGTCCCTAGTTTCGTGTAGAAAAAGTGTTATGTCTTCTTTAATATATATTTTGAACATCTCTGTAGATGGAACATGAAAGGGAAGCTGAAGAAAATGACGTATAAGGAACATAAAGAGCTTAATGAATCAACATTTAACATGGACATTATCTCTAGTAAAATTGACGAAGATGACAAGAACGGGTATCAGGAGCTGGGCGAAGTGGCGCTACCATCAGATTATGATCGACTTTGAAATTTTGCATTTCATACTCATACAATATTTTCCAAACTTATATAAAAAAGTCTTTGAACACATAATTACATGTACTGTACATATCTGTAGCTATTATGCAAAAACATATTTTGGTATAGATTTAGGCTTATATCTTGAATGTTTAAATAGTAAAGACAGACTCATGATACTTTATTAGTTATATCATTTAGTACGAAGAAATTCATGATTAAACTTCTTATAAAAATACATTGAACATTCTATTACATATCGCCTTTCAGCTCTGCGAGGGTATAATATAGCATTATCTCCGAGTGCAGCGAGGCGTATCTCAATTTAAAGAAGCTAAAAAAATAATGACCTTTGTGACGTATACACACCTTTGGTCGGTAGTATATAAAGCACAGCTCCAGGTGCCGAAATCTTTCTTTTTCTCTGACGGGCGTGCGTGTTTACCTGTACAGCAGGTAAACGTTATTGAATAGAGGTGTAACTTAGAACGTTGTTCAAGTTTTTTGGGCAATGTCCTGTCTTTCACGGGAAGTGACCTTGATAACTACGCAGATATTGATAAATTGTTTGCTGACAATCCTCGCACGCGGAGTGTAACAGATGACACTACAAATAAGAGAACTAGAGGGATGAAGCGTAAAGCGCAGATCTCTACTTGTTCTGCAAGTGCAAGTGCACTGCCGTCAGGGGCGACGAAACAAAGTAAAAAATCCAAAAATCAGTCCGTGTCTATTCAAGAATTTGATGTTGACGAACTTAAAAGTCAACTTGGCATAGAATATTGCAAACTCCTTCATCGCTGACAGATACTGTAAAACAGTTTGGTCGTTCTGATTCTATGGCGCGTAATACGTGCATTGAAAATACTGGTACCACGGAATCTACGGTGCACACTTAGGGTAATAATTATCCCGGTGTTTTTACACAAACTATGTTGAACAGATCACCGAGAAATTTGGTTAGCATACCTGATTATTATTTTCATCAAACTATTAATGAAACCCCTGATGACTATGACTTTGATTTGTCTGATTTGAATGGTCAAGTCTCTCCTTCTATTGAAGGTTTTAATCCAGCAGATAGTATTCAAAGAAATAAAGTAAGAAAAAACTTAAATGAGCTTGATCTAAAAATTTTTTTTTACAAGGGAGTTCGGAGTATTCGTTCCAAACGATTCTCAATATTATAAAAAATGTACATCAATATATCAAGTTAACAAAACGTTTTTAATCATATTTTCTTTTTTAATATGCATTCTTGTCACTTTATACATGTTTATATTTGTGATGCTTATTTTGATCTGGATCTGCGCGAGTCAGGGTGTGATTGCGTGTGTGAGTGAGGGTGTGTGTGTGAATGTGTTTGAATGCGTATGTGAGCACTCATATCTAAATATGAATTGTAAATATATACTCTGTTCATTGTATTGTAACCTTGACCTGTTATATAGAGAGGGTATTTATAGGCTTAAGCCTGTTGCCCAATCTATTCAGTTTACTGAATGAATATTGTTTAAATCAAGGTTTTAATCCTCACAAGACATTGAAGGGGATTTTGAATGATGAATCAATTCAGATTACATTTGATAACAGTGCTAGTAACAATCACTGGGATATCCCACAGTAAAATACAAATGAGAAAACTGGTCCAAATATAAACGAAGCACTGGGGAAAGCTGTAAATCCAACAGTCTCTAAGAAAACTAGCAAAGAAAGTATGGCTGAGTTGGATAAATAGAGTGACAGACCAGATAATTGTAATCTATTTAAAGTTCAGCTTCCAGGGCCCAAACACTGTTGGCTCTTGATTTAAAGTACATGTCAGGGTTTGCAGATGAGGTTATTTTTCAAATTCAGAAGTTACTAAAACATGTAAAAATGGAACTCCTGTACATAGAGTTATTTTACATAAATTTTCTGATGAAAGACTTTGTATTATTTCAACGTTACACGAATATTTAAAAAGAATTGAAAATAAAAGAAAATCATCTACATTATTTGTGTCCTATAGAACATTTTAACCTGTTTCAACATGTTCATTAGCAAGATGGCTGAAAAATGTTCCAGAACTGCCAGGAATCAGAGACTTTACTGTCCACCCTTTCCGAAGAACTTCAGCTTCAGTGACCTATTCATTAGGAGTGTCGTTAAAAGAAATAATTGATGCGAAAATATGACTTCTTCAAAAACATTTTTTAAGTTTTATTACAAAGATACAACTGAATGTGATTCAGATGGACTTTTTGCAAAATCAGTATTGAATGGATGAACAATAAATTGTTTGGTGACATTTATTTAATTGTTTTGTTGACAATGAACCCTTTTGTGAATGTGATTTCTCCGAAGTTTATATGTCGTCTATAAGCTTTGAATTTGAATAAAATTTAGTTGCAATGATGTGGTCTTCTGAATGAATACTTTGAAAATATACGTTTTTATTGTAATATTTTGTTTGTGACCAACACCTTAAATATGCTACATGATATCCTCGCAGAGCCGAAAGGCGATATGTAATAGAATGGACCCTCCTCCAAGCATCCTTCAGGATGTACAGGATGAGGGTCATTATAAAGTTATAAAAAAAATACGTGTGTGACGTATACACACCTTTGGTCAGTAGTATATAAAGCACAGTTCCAGTTGCCTAAATCATTCTTGCAAGCTTGTTTGTGACAACTAACAAACATCATTGGTGGGTTATTTTCCCTCAAAATAAAATCAATTTGTGTTGGGTACATGATACCCTCTTGAGCCTCTTGCTCATTACATAGTATAACCCTAATCCTGTCCATCCTAAAGGATGTTTGGAGGAGGGTCTGTTATCTGAAAAAGGGTCTTTATATCATTTTTTCGTATGTTAGGTAAACTTTATACACAGAAAACGTGGATAGTTCCACACAAATGAGCAAGTATAAAAAATTTTTGACAGAGATTTAGATTTGAAATAAAACATTTAAAGATTACGAACAGTATTTGAAAAGCGAAGTCCACAAAACAATACAAAATGGAAGCAGAGAAATCACGGACCTCCAAAACATTAGAGGTAGGACCGGTCGCCACGAAGAAGTGAACATCCCCTGCAAACCCGTTAATCCCGCCATGTGCTTCATCTAATGATCGGGTAATAAAGGGGAAATCCGTCCGTCAATTAAATGTATAAATAATGGACAAACAAGCCTGAAGTGTTAAATTGGTTAAGCCCACTGTATCTTAACTGTCAAAACATATTTGACTTCCTGACCAGATTGTTACTATTAATATTTCATAGAAATAATCAATACTAAAATAGAATCTGGTTGGCTACGAAAGTCACATGACCGCTTTGTTTTCCCTGCAACGGAAGGTTCCGCCACAATGGATATCTCTTGTTTTACCTTTGTTTCTAATGAACAAATTCTGTAACTCAGACGAAAACAAACATGGCAATGTTTCTCCAGCCTGATAGTGAGGATTTCATATCATTATTGCATGAAAATGACGCTATTAAACCGAACAGAAAAAAGGAAGATATTATCTGAGTATTTTGCGGAGTGCTCTGATTCAATAACGAATTTTGAGGATTAACCGGTGGGTATACAAAAGGTTGTGATCTTTATTGTGCAAGAAAATCGTCAGAAAAACTTTTCAAGAAAATGCAGTACGGAACACTTTTTATGTCTAGAGATAAAAAAAGATTGACCTCGTAAAAGTCCTCGTAAGAAGTTAATGAGAGTAACGAGATTTGTAAAAAAAATTTCCACAGATCTGAAAAAAAGACTTTAGGGAATTTACCATCACCCTCCATTTTGGTAAAAGAAATTGAACAGCGTCGATACTCCGGTATTTTGATATTGATACTCCTAATGGGTTGCCGAAAAAAAAGATTGGTTTGAAATAACTGTAACCATGCAGAATAATACTCCCATTTTATAAGTTATCGAAAGAAGACGGAGATAGCAGAAACCCTATGTGCTGCACTTACTTTTTGTCCCTGCTTTCGCGAAAGGGAGGGGGTATTTAATCTTCTTCGTCTGTCCGCCTGTCAGTCTGTCTGGCTGTCTGTCTGTCCGTCACAAAAACTTTCATATCTCACACCATCAGGCTTGGGGCGAATTACATTGAAAGTAATGCATTACCATTACCATTACTTCAACAATTTGGGCATTAAATTACCATTACCATTACACTATTTTCTTAAAGTAATGCATTACATTACCATTACTTCAGTAGAGTAATGCATTACCATTACCATTACTTTTGGTAACAGTTTCCAAGGTCTCCCCCACTACCGAGGGACAACATTTTGACTGTTTACCTCGTAGTCATTAAATAAGTGTATACTGTGAATCACAGTGAAGCAGGAAATACCTGCATGGCTCCTATTTTCTTTGGTACAATGAATTTTTCATGGTCAGTACAAGGTAAATCGATCAGCACAATTAATGTTTTTAAAAACACAGTCAGGAGAAAAGGACTAGTAATTTGGAGCACTTCTCCAAACAATGCATTGTTTTAATTGTTACATAAACCAGAGTCCTAGTGTGTTTTGATGACACTCTAGCTATTCAAAAGGAACCAGTTATCAATTAACAGTGTACATTAATTAGTGTATCTCATATGTGATCTTGTTAAAAAAAATCTTTTATAGCTATTTTATATAATTCTTATCTGAAATAAATTTGAAAACTTTATTGTAAGGTAGGTGTACTTTCAACAGAATAAAAGGTTTATTTAAATAGATATATAAATGTTATCTAAATAGGTAACTTTGCATTTTTATTCAATAGCATCATTTGCCAAAAAAAAGTATAAAAAAAATAAATAAATAACCTAAACAATAATTTCCATCATCCAAGTACATTTCAATTTCTCAAAATAGGTACTTGTCTTACCAAATAATGCTGTGTAATGCTATGTAATGCCAGCATTACACTGGATTTTATGAAGTAATGCATTACATTACCATTACATGTAATGCAAATTTTTGGGCATTACACATTACTACCATTACTTTGCGATCATGTAATGCATTGCAATGCATTACCATTACAATTAGCATTACCCCAAGCCTGCACACCATTATCCCTTAGGACAAGACCTTTTTCTCGGTACCACCAAATTTGATCCTTTGACCACGACCTTGGATTTGACTCACTTTTACACAAAAATTATT